TCCAGGGCAACATGAAAAGTGCCATTCTGCAACTTATTATAAGTGCTCATGAATAATACCCAGTGGTTGGACTTATGGTATGTGTTCCTGAAATATGCTGCCACCCTCAGCACTTAAAATTAACCATCGACAGACTCACAGAGAAAAAACTGATGGTTGCCAGAGGAAAGGAGGTGAGGGGATGATAAAAAAGGTGAAGGGGAACAAGAGGTACAAACTTCTACTTAGAAAATAAATAAGTCAAAGGAATGTAATGTACAGTGCAGAGAATATAGTCAATAATGTAATAATTTTGTATGTTGACAGATGGTTACTAGACTTATTGCAGTGATCACATCATAAGGTACATATATGTCAAAGCACTGTTTTACACTTGAAATTAATTTAATATTGTATGTCTACTACACTTCAATAAAAAAAATTAACCGTCCAAATCAAATTAGATTCCCTGTGTAGTTGATTTCAGTAGCCTGAGAAAAAGCCACAGGAATCCAAGTTCCTCCCATTCTTTCAATCAGCCTGGATCCAATTAAATAAGATAAAGACAGATTTTTGATGCAGCTAATCTTGAATCACCAACTGATACTTAGCAAAATCATCAAAAGGCCAAAAATCTCACACCGTAAAGTCCTATTTGAGAAAAAAGGATAAAAACACAAGCTTCAAAAAATTCTTCTACCTCGAGATGCAGGATTGGCTAAAAAGCCTGTGTAATTAAATTGTTTTGAAATGAATTTTAACTGGAAACTAGACTCACCCCAATAATGTAAAACACCAGCCCTAGCTCTAATCCCTGCTGGAGTGTAGCCACATGACAAGCCACCACAGCTCCAACTCCTGCATATACTAGAGCCCAACCACACAAGTCCTAGGCAAAGGCCTCCTCCTCTCCATGCTGTATTGGCCTCTAAATTATATAATACCTAACATTTTTTGAGTTTTTAAGTTTCGGAATCTGTGTACCTTCTTATTTAACCCTCATAATAACCTATCAAGGCAGATACTATTCTATCTTTTTATATGTCCACTCTCAAGCATTTTTGGCTTGTGTAGAGGTTAATATCAATCACTCACGTCTCTGCCCTTACTGGTTCTAAGCAAAAGAGTAGGAATACAACAAACCGATAAGCAGACAAAGATCAAAGTATTCACTTTCTTTATGGAGGCCTAATCATTCCAACTACCGGGTCCCTTAAAGTACTGGACTAGAGAAAGTAATCTGGAATTGAAGCCAAAACAAATGAGGCTTCCTATTACCTCCTGACGAATCTGAATCTTTGGACCAGCCACTGGAATGTATTGGGTCTGCAGGCAGACTCCTCATATACATCTCCAGCCAATAGTGGTGTGGATCGAGGCCCGACTCAAAGACCCAGTCATCAGCAGAAGAGAGTGCTGGAAAGCACAGGAGAAAAACAGAGCAGGCACTGTGCCAGGTCTGTTTACTTGACAGAGTCCAATGTCTCTTTTTAACAATCTGCCTAGAAGAGAAAGAATCCTATTTCTTGCTTTTAAACATAGCTTTCAAACACTTTTCAAACATAGCTACACAATGGAATCATTTAGAAAGGTTTAAAGAATTGCAGTGACCTGGCCACACACCCCAGACCAACTAAATCAGAATCTCTAGGACATAAGTATGTTTTAACATTCTCCACGTAGTTCCAATGTGTAGTCTAGGCTGAGAATCGCAGCTTCATAGGCTCAGTAACCCCTTCCCCTCTAAATGCCCCCAGTCATACTAGCATTTTTTGAGTGGCTACTTTAAGCTGAACAATTGACATAATCCTCATCACAACTCTATGAGGCGAGTATGAAAACATTTCCCAGATGAGAGAAGTGAGACTTGGAAAGGTTATGTGACAGAGCTGGGATCACAAATTAATAGTCTCCTGACTACCTTACACTTTGCTGCTTTTTGTGGATGCCATGATTCCAGTGATTTCTCCAATCACAAGATACATTTCTTCTTTCCTAGGGAGGAGCAAGTAAGATTTGGAGAAACTAAAAAAGTTCATTCCAATATTCCTTCCATAAAGAGAACATAAACTCCTTCTGTGGAAGTTGAGGAAGAATAAGGGTTTCCAACTTTACTAGAGATTTGGAAAATGTGTGGGAGTAACAAATCAACAGAGATGGTTAAAATTGTCAAGCAGCCAAAGTCAAATAGCATAATCTTTTTCACAGAATCACTTCATAGTTTGAACAGCCATCCTTGATATCCTGAGACTAAGAAAACTGGATAGTACATACGAAGATGAGACTGAATATCGTGAAGAAAGGTGTCCAGGGAGATTATGGAAATAAGAGAATCAAAGTTGCTGTGACAATACCAATGACAATAAAAGCTGAGTAGAGAAAACCAGGAACAGAAGACTAGAATCCTGGGAGGGGCTGAAAGGCTGCAGGAGGGGTGAGGTAAAGTTCACATCCTGAGACACTGAGTCAGAAGATGAAAAGTGATGCATTACCCAATAACTCACATAGTTTAAAAGGTGGAGAATTATCTTTCTTTCATGTTTAAACTCTGCTCAGGTAAAATTATAAATTTGATCTTTGTTTATACAAGTTTGCTGGAAATTATGTAAATGGTAATGTCAAATAATGTACTGATTTTGCTAACAGAAATTTTAGCACTGAAGAGGATTCAAATGACTTTTATGGTAACTTCTACATAGCAAATAATCACTCTAATTTTTTCTTTTTGCAATTTAGAATTTTCACATAACGAATCTGCAGGACATCGACATATGTTACTTGACCCAAGGGAAAAATGTACTTTGCTACAATAGTGTTGGAAAACCTGATGAGCAACAGAAAAAGAATTCCTATCCATAGGTGTTTCCTTGTTTTAACTCTTTTCATGGTATGAATCATTATTCCCTAATAAGTAGAGGGTTGAAAGGAGGACAAAAGACTCCATCCATCTGTGCCAAGACAAAGCTGCATCAAGCTTGTGAAATAATTTGCAGCTTGCCTGCTCCTTTAGCTGCTAGGAAACTTCAGGAAATGTTGCAACTGGCAAAGCAGGTTAATTCAACAGGTTTTCATTTCTGGTAAAAGCCTACATGAGGTTTAAGTTTTAAAATATTCTCAAACTATGTATTTTATAGTCAATTGAAGATGGCTGGATCTATATTATAAATTTTAACTGCTAGTCTGCAATTTGCTGATGTCTTTGGAATGGAAAAACTCTAAATTGATTTGTTGTATGACCATCTCATTCTCACTCTTGTGACTAAATCAGTTCACCTATAAGTGACTTATCAAGTCCATACTACCCCAACACACACATACACACATATACTTAGAGCAGGTAAAACTTTAACACATTACTATTAAATTCTTAAGACTCTGGTGTGCCATGACAAATAGTAGGCACAGTGTCAATTGAACAAATATTCTAGAATTATTATGCCTTTTTTATGCGTATAATTTTATTGATATAATTTTGATATATCACGTTTTACTGTTTTTATGGCTATCGTTAAGAAATTCTGAAATGAGTCTTTTGCTAAAAAGGATATAGAAGATATTTATTCACATCATTTAGTTATGAGGTAAGGAATCATAAAATTAAGATTTTAAAACTGGTTTCTTAAGTTGTTCCAAAGCACATGTTCTGAAAAATCTGAAAATAATTTTTACTTTGGGGATTACTTTCAAAGATTAGTTAAAAATAGATTAATAAGACTTTACTTGCCACTCACTTTATGTATTAGTTTAATAAAAAAAAAAAAAGATCAAACATCAGTAATTCATATGATCCTGCCTCTTTAGAATCACAAGACAGCTGAAAAACTGTAATTTTCACATCAAATGAAACAGTATGGCCCTATGTGTTCCAAAGAAAAATATCTTAAAAGGAGATGGCCTCAGCTACTCTGCAATGTGCTTAAAATATCAACTACAACACATATTCAACACTAGGGCTTATAGTGCTGGCTTTCCATATTAAAAGATGCTACTGGTGAGGCTGTTAACACAAAAGTTGAATTCTGACTGAGTTTCCACAGTTCACATTGAAGACTAATATTACAGTAACAATCACAGATAACTTTAGAGTGACAAGAGGCAGGGTATTGTTTAAAATAAATAATCTCCAATACAAAAATGCCCTGCAGTTCAATAACTTTAAAATCCTATTCCCTAAAGTGTTTTGTGTTTGTTGACTTAGCTTTCTCCTGTCTACTTTCCAGAGGTGCTGAAGGGAAATGAAACTTTAAGAGTTAAAAAGAGATAGAAAACTGAATAATCAGCCATTTCATAGGCAGAGTAATATTGGCTTTGTTGGAAGTCAGAAGCTGACTTGGTTAAATATAGAACACAAATATCCACAGCCATTAAGTGACTTTATGAAAAACTATCCACATTAAGTATGATAGAGATCACAAAACTACTTTGAAAACATGTTTTAAAACTCTGAAACATAAGAGATAAAGAGCCTCTTATTTTCTAATGTGGGCAAGGGATTCCCATTTTCTGGAAGATAAAACAGAGACCCAAATACTGAGCCTAAGATAGGCCTATAGAGCAACAGTGCATTCTCCACAGAGAACTAGAGATCATCATTCAGAATCTTGTACTTCTTCATTCTAAGGTATTGAGATTTAAATCAACTGAGTCTCTTCTCATTTTTTACTTTATTTTTTAAAAAAGACAGATTTAGGATCTTATAAGAAATTACTGTTACATTTTTTAAAATCTGTCAAGTGCTACAGTAATGGAATAAATAAATAAATTTTTTAAAATTCAATGTTTATAGACAT